TTAAAACAGGGCCTTATGGTCCTGGCCCCTTCCATTCTGGGGAGCGTCAGTCCGGTTCCTATTCTACCGGCAAGTCAGAACATACATTACATTAAGAATCACTCGCGCTTCCTTCCGTTTGGCCGAAGGACCCCTGAACAGCAATAGATTGCTCCACCTTGGTGGAGGATTAACTGTCAGCTTGCCACGTCTCACTCTTTCCTCTCAGACCTGGAAGCCAGATCTGCCAAATAGTTCTATGTCACCTAGAAAGAGCTCGCCCATTGTCCAAGCTGGCCTGTGAAATCCCACTCATCCGCCCTGCCCGTGAGTCCCGATATTCCCTGTCCCACTTTACCTGCCGCCCCTTTTTACGCGTCACTAAAACCCTAAACCCTAAACCCTCGTCCTGTAGCCATTGCCGACCCTTCTAGGCTGGGATTTGCGGCTACATGTCTGTTCCCCTTGGGTGATATGCGATCTTCTTTACATTGTAACCGTACTCCATCATTCCTTTGAGACAACCTTTTCTCCGTTGCTACGGCCATTTGGTCTCATCCATCCATCTTTGTACTGTCCCTCCGTAGCTGTGGTCATTTGGTCTTGTCCATCTCTCGCGGAAGTCTGATCAGGAGGTGTTTTGCCCGTCCGCAGTTATCTGTTGTTGGTAGCCTCTTCCTGAGTTTGAGTTGTGCCAGTCCTTCCAGCAAATGCGGTCTTCGTGTAACTCCGCTATTTTACCGCTTATCAACCAGGTCCTGCTGAATCTCAGTCTCACTTTCTTTTGTTGTTCCTCGTCCTCCGCCATGATTGTTTGGTCTTCCGCCATCTGCAGAGGATTTCGGCTTGTATCATTGTTTTCGTCTCCGCCCAGACCCTCTCTCGTGGGTTGGACAATCTTTCAATCGTTCTGCTGCATCTTTCCTTCCATATGACCCATAGCGTTACCTTCCTGATGAGTCCAAACCAAATCCTCTCTGCTTTCCGGAGCTGCTCAGGGATGTTAGTCAAAAGGAGAAGTTGGATGGGTTGTTCAGGGAAGGGGGTCGGGAATAGGGAGTCCCAGAGGGCTGAGGCTCTTGCCCAGTAATCTGTCGCCTCCCTACAGTACAGTAAGCAGTGAACTATGTCCTCTACCTCGCCTTCCATGCAATCCGTGCACAGATCAGAACTGTTGGGGTCTGAACCCTTTCGCCTAGTGTGTAGCCATTGGTTTACTGGTAGTGCCGTGTAGGTGATTAGCCATTGAAGGCTTCTGATTTTAATTGGCCTGATAGACTTGTACTTCTTCCACCGGACCTGTGTGAGCTTGTCTGCCTTTTGGCCTAATAGATTCTGCCATCTTTTTTTAATGGTGAGATCAGGGTTTTTGGTTTTGAGTAACCGTTTGTACCCCAGTTTAACTGTATACTGATGAAGTGGAATCTTGGATTTAATGTTCTTCGTCTTGTCCGGCGTCCACGCCCATTCTGCTGGGTCAAACTCTAGGCTATGGATCGCCGTATCAGGTCGAAGATTTACTTTGGCCACAAGCCCAGAACTCCTACCTTCCTAAGTAGGAAGAAGTCCATGACTTCCGATTCTACTGCGCTATTGAGGATGGCCGGCATGTTGGAGGTGGTCGTGGAGATCGGAAAGGAGAGGAAGGTGGCCTTGGTGGGCAAGCCTTGTTGCATGTGGGAAAACAGGAAGGCTCTGGAGGGAGTCGTTTCTTGTACCTTAAGTCCCCATTCTCCAGGCTTCCATGGTGCGGCTTTGGTCAAGATGTCTTTCCATTCTTGTGGGATAAGGCTGATTATGTATTGGAGATTAGGTCCTCGTCTGTGACATCCTTTCAGTTGAGAGCTGACTTTTGTTCAGTCTTCCACTCCTTTCTTTCCTCGTTCCATAGGTGGGCGATTTTCCATATTCCGTTTTTGATCCAGGAGAGCCATCTGTGTTCTAGGAAGAGGGGATTATCACCCTCGTTTGTCACCCACTGATTCCCAAAGAGTGGCTGCCTTAATACTTCATCCTTAGACCTAGGTCTATTAGACTTGTCAGGCGTTGTTTTTCTCCAAATTCGAAGCAGCGCTGACCAGTATGGAGTAGGAGGTTTGTAGCCCTCTGGTCTATCATCACTCTTTCGATTCCTTCGTCCTGTGGTCATGGCCCATTCCTTATCCATAACCCAGAACAGTCCTGACATGTCATCTGGCAAGGGCACTGGAGTCAGGGATCTGATACTGTCTAGGGCTAACTTGTTCCACGCGTTGTCTGGGTTCGTAAGAAGTTTGATAATCCACTTGATCTGTAGGGCTTTTGTCTCTGTTCAAGGGTCTATAATCCCTAGGCCTTCCTTTTGCGGGCTTCTTGTGACGTAGTGCCATGCGATCTTAGGTATGCCATTCTCTTTATTGGGATCTCCTGACCATAAGTAGGACCTGGCTCTTCGATTCAGCTCTTTAATAGAGCTATTCGGTACTGTCCAAATGGAGGCTATGTACCACATCATTGAGAAGACCGACGTATTAAGAACCA